TGTTGCCTCGCTTTTGTGTTGGCTGTTGACTTCTATGACAGCCTCCTGTGCTACATTTGCTTAAAATCAGCACCAAATTTTCTTTGGACAGAAATGCCGTTGTTTTGGCTCTTCTCCTTTGTATCGGAATCTGTCTCATCCACTAGGATGTTTTTTATGTACGAAAAAAAACTCGCAGTTCACGCGTCGGTTGCGAGAAATTTTCAGAATGGGCAGAATTCCAAGCAGTTATTCTTAATTGATATATGTGAAAATCACAATTGGAGACAGTTATGTACTGCAGAACAGGTTGTCTTCACGAAAAAGTGACTACAGTGCGCACAGCATGAACATAATAACGAAACATAAAGCTGCCAAGTTTCATATTCACATCCCTGACCGGCTATCACATCAAGGGTCCTTTGACTTAAAGTACATAAAAATACAGCTACAAATGCACAGGGAAAAAATTTTGCGTTGAGAGAAGGTCACACTTTGGATTCTACCTTGAGGATTGGCTGTTCCCTCCGCAATTTGTCGTGAACTCAACCTATTGGCGTTGATTGTCAACGCATCCAAGGTCTAGTCGTCAATTGAGGGGTCGTTCAAGGTAAGTTGTGACCATTGCCGACACTCCTCCTCCTCATTCTCGTTCAAATTCGCGCGAAAATCGCCATTGTTCAATGGCCTCAGCGATATTATCTGCGACAGTGGTAGTGAAAGCGCTTTTTTCACTTCCATGTTACCTTACTCAAATTTTTTCCTTTAGTCTCAACAAATTATATTATTATTTAAATATAATAGTATAAATATAAATATAAATATAAATAAATAATTATAATATAATATAGTAAATAATTTATAATATGATATAAATATAAATATATATTTAAACAAACATGCCGAGATTCAAAGAAAGTCGAACATTTATAGTATTTTATTCATCCAGTCCGATCTTGAAGGAATCAATAAATTTTGGTTCATTCATTGAAACGCCTTTTTGTTGCTCAGACACATAACACAACTTGAGCGTGATCATCATTTGCTTTTGAGGTGGCTATATGAATTTATTGCTATAAAGAACGAATAAATTAAGTTGACTATCAAGCCTTCATCACTTTTGAAATTCTGAGGTAGGACGCCATTAGTACTTATCAAGGGTTGAGACTATGGAAATCTCTTTGTGAAAATTCGTGCTTTCAGCATTAGTATTCGCAATTCGCATCCCACAATAAAAAGAAAACTTCCAAACATACTGCCAACTTACAGCCCGTAAACGAAGATCAAAATACTTAAAAGCTCTCATTCACGGCAGCAATATGATATACAATTTCCACTAACCTTCTCGCTTTTCTGACCGTCTTATCGTGCTTATGTTTTGAATACGTCTCATGGTCCCTATTCCCATTGTGTACACTCTCACCAATTCGTAATACTTGATCTTATGCGAATGGCTATATAGCAGCAGCAGTCCTGATTTTTTTTTGAAGCGAGTGGCAACAAATTAAGATGAGCTGATCAGGCATTAGCCACGCCGTCTGATGTCCTCCGAAGTTTCTGCAGGCTAATCATTTTGATAAAGGTTGAAAGGAAACCAGTGTAGGCGAGCTTGACGAAAGCATAGCGGGACTAATTTTTTTGACGAAATTCAAATTTCAAGCACTTAAAAACGAAGTCAACCTGTCTGCACGATGTTATCTTTCGGTAAACTCGTTCAAAAAAAAATTGCGCCCTTATTGGCAAGGGCACCCTTTTCTCATCAATCCTCCTCTCCTTGGATTCGTTACTGCTATATAGGTGTAGCATATCTTAGAAAGTAGCTTCATGCTGATACGTATCTACCCAGAGTCAGAACTGCACAATCGTCCATTTTCGGGGATACATCAACACTTGACATATGGCAGCAATATTTCCGTGTCTGGTCGCTCTTGGAGAAATATAGGAAAAACGTTTTTAGCACTGTAGGAAAGCGAGCCAATATTAGAGAACGTCTTTTCGCGCCTTGGCGACCTTCAGAGTACATTGCGTGATGTGCGGAACAAAGACGGTTAAATTTTTGTTCAACGTTAACACAAAAAGAAATTATTGCAAGCGTTTTCGCACTTGATGCGTTTGAACGATTAATGCACAGAGTGAAGATTCCCTTGTTTTTCTAAACCCTTAAAGATTTGCTGTTCTTTTTTGGAAAACTGTGAGTCTACATCTTTCTCATACCTTCGTAGCCCTCTGGCCGCGCCAACTCCTCCACCCCATCCTTCTCTACCTCTCCTCCGTTCGCTCTTTACCCATTTTATGTACACATTTGTACGTACTTGGAATTTCTTCATCCTTGAAATTGCAATCCTCTGTCGGCAAGCGCATTTCCTGCTCTTTGTTCGTTATTCATGACCGAACGACGGCAGAAGATGTGAATATCAATCTCGCCATTGTAGCGGCCGTGCTTTTGAGTCTTGTACAGCCAGCTGCTCACACGTTGCGTAATCTGGAGCCACTTGAAGGCTAGAAGCAGATGACATCCGAGTCCTTCGATGGAGCAGGAGGAAGCAATGCTCGTCGCACCAATTTTCGCACGATAATCCTTGCCACGGGCTATTCAGATAAACGATTAGAATATTGATATGCTGGTGAAGACCATTTAAATCTCTAAATGCAGTTGACAAGTGTCGTGCAGCTCTCGCCTTTGTTCTTATATGTATAAAACTCAAATTTGCAAATTGATCGCTTAGGCAGGCGCTATACTCCTCGAGGAGTATAGCATGGCGATCGCCCGTCGCCAATACTGGCGACTGTGTCCTCTATACGTATCGATCGCTAACAAGTTACCACACGTCCAATCGATACACATTTAATGTGTAGTCGCCAATATTGGCGACTGGCGATCGCCAGTATCGGCGACAAAAATCGCTGGTTTTACATCTCATTAAGTTATGCCTACCAGTTTGATTCTTATCTTACTTCGCTCAGTGGTAGTTACTTCCCTATAGTTTTACGTGCAATGTTTGTTCGAAAATAATTGAGTTGTGTTCTTACATGCTAGAAGACACAGTTCTGTTTTAATTTTCATAGTTCTCTCTTATGTATTTTAAAACATGTTTTGAGCTTGGAGCATGCATGCAGCATTAGCATAGAGTGCTTCGGGGGAAACTGTCATAAGATACAAGCATGTGCTTGAAACCTCCTCAGTAAACTTGACATATTGAAAATGGTTCAAGCAACTGTAGGTTGCAACAGATTTTAAAAATATATCAACTAGTGGCAGAAAAAATTCTTTGTTTGCCCTTTGCATGTGTTTTGGAAGTACGACGTCAGAAAAAAAATTAAAAAGCCTTTACTGCTCGATTTCTTTGAAAGCGCATGTGGGAAAAGCAGTCACTTACGACGATAATAACCATTCTAAAGATCCCCCCCCCCCCCGCCTCATCTGTCCATCCTGTCGTGCTTAATTGTTTTGCGGACGCGTCTCGTAGTGCTAACCCGATTGCACCTTTACCAGCAGTGGCTACTCAGTTGCTTGTCCCATTTTCAAAGACATCCGCGATCACTTACTTATTCACATATCGAGATTTTTTTGCAAAGTTGCACTATTCTCTAACATCCCGTAAAGTTGTCTTTAACTGGCATTTATTTAGTAGTTCGTCCGCTACTTGGTACGCAGCTGCAGAAGTCAGAACTGCACTAAATCGTCCATTTCCGGCAACACATCAACAGCGACTCGACATCCGGCAGCAACGTTTTCTGAGTAGGAGTCCCTAGAGTGAAAAGCTATAGCGCCAGCCACGCCCATTTGTATCATTCATACTCAACTTTTTGATACTTGACCTCCTTCGCAGCGAAGAGCAAAGTGCGGAACAAATCGCATAGATTTCTTCGGATGTCTAGGTGACAGAAACCATCTATCCGGTCTAATTGCGTCACTAAATGTCCTTCATGGAAGCTGTTCGTCTCAAAGGTATCTTCTTCTGAAATACTATGCTATATCATGTATTGCATTGTATGATATATCATGTACTGCATTGTAATCAAAATTTCAACTTAGGGTGAGAATTTCTTTTGAGCTTGTCCTGGCTGGTTTCACTACCCAACTCATACAGTTTCTCTTCCCCGCCCACTGCACCCCCGATTTTGCTGTTCCGTGTCCTGCAAACGTACAACACGCTTGAAGCTTGTTCACCCTTGAAATCTCAATCCCTTGTCGGCACAGACAGCGTTTCCTGCTCTTTGTCATCAAGATTCATGAGGGACGAAAGGAGGATATGTGTCAATCTCGCCGGCGTAGCCGCTTTGCTTTGGCGACGTTTTCTGCAGCCAGCTGGTCACACATTACCCACCTACACTAGGGTGGCTTGGGTGCTAAAAATGTCAAGAAAGAGTGTTACCTCTACTCCCATCGGTTCAAAGAGAGAAGCACTTCCATTTGAAGGGGGCGTGGCTGGTCTTTTGCATCGCTTCTCTCACTAATCCCTCCCACGGGCCGCTGCACAGATGGACGGGGGCGCTTAGGAGATTGAGCATCTTTTGGATACCGAAGACCACTATGTCAGTCCGAAACGCAGTTGGTGAATGCCTTGCTACAAATTCTTCACAGAAAGCTATTGGTTTTTCTACTTCTCCGTGAGATCTCTCATCCTGAATCAGTTACCTTCCAAAAATTCCTGTTTACCTGTCTATATAAGTACTTGTATTCTCCTCATTAACTTTCACCTGCTTCTAATCCATGTTACTTGTGAATATTCATCAAACTACTAATGCGCATGAGATTACCACCTATGCGTAAATCTGACCGATTCTGTTCATCCGTGCTATTCTTAGCCAGCGAGCTCGACTTTTGTCCTTCTCCACTGAACAAGTTTGCACTTAGTTGGCGTTTATTCAATCGTAATGCACTCGATTCTTCCCAATTCTTCGCTGGTTCCCGTACAAAGAATTTTAGAAAAAAAAGCTTGCATGTGTAGTTTACAAAAATTTCATAGTAAGCGTAGTCCTCCTAAAGTTCCTTCCTATCTATGTGCCCTATATGAAATGTTTTAGCTGGTCCTTTCGCTATGGTTGATTGAAAATGAAGCGTCATAAAGCGAAGATGCGAAGGTGAGAAACAGAAGGTGCAGGTGTGTAGCAAGCAAATTCTTTAATGTCTTTGCATAAATGAAATCAGAATTATTTATCCAGGAAATCCTTTGCTAACAATAAACACCTCTGCTTTAGAGCTAGCACATAAAAGCCAGAAACGTCCGAGAAATCATGACTGGCTCAAATTGGTCACAATTACCGTGTTAGCTGCTGGTCCTTACATTTCTTCCCTTGACGGCGAGTTTGTCTTCGACGACTGGGCCACCATCCTCAACAACCCAGTAGTTACCGGAAAAACTCCGCTAAAGCAGGTTCGTCATGGGATTTTCCGCTCTTGTGAACTTTCAATTCTACTAATGGAATAGCGCGTTTTGTGCCTGGGCAGGCTTGCAAATATTTTGAATTTTTTTACGTTTTCAGGTTTTTACCACCGACTACTGGGGACATCCTATCGCATCACCGCAGAGCCACAAAAGTTACAGACCACTGACTACGTTGACTTTCTGGTGAGTATTTCTTATGGTATTTAGCATGACATCTTTGGAAAATTGCTTTTCAAAAATTATTTTTCTACTGACCATTTTTGTGCATATCAATTTTTTCATTTTTTTATCCAAACCAATCCAAATTGTTGATACATCCTCCTTTTAAAGGCCTATCATAGGTCACTTCCTTGTTATCTAACCATTTTCACGTTTTGCATAGTTCGAAGTTCACTGTAAACTCCTCCTAACTGATTCTGCTCATTGCTGGTATAAATTGAAATTAAGTGAATACCAATTTATATTGCTCGATGCGCGCACAACTCCTAACATAACCCACTGTTTGTTTTCATAACTATCAAAACTCGTTCAAATGAACGAGGCGCCTCGTTTGCGCACTTTGAGTTTTTCATTTGCGAGGTCGCATTTTAATGGCCCATCAGAGGCGAAGAGAATGGGATTTGAACTGGACGTGTGGCGAGGGAGGTGGCAATATTCACACCACAAGGCTTGTCTTGAGAATTTGACTAGGCTTACTAGGATGGTCTCCAAAAAAATTCAGAATTTTTTCGCTTTCTCGCCACTTTATTCATTAGAAATATTTGTGTCATGGGAATCGCTCAAAGACACTTCACTTCATATTCCTACGTTCTGTTCTCAGTTCTAGGAAAACATATGACGCTTGATAGACCCTTGGAGAGCTGGTGTACGGAGTAGAGACTGAAAGAAAAGTTTGTATTGCTTTCTTTGAAGATCAGCTAATATAAAGAGGAAACAATATATTCTTTATCAATCTTGGGAAATTTAAGAAGGGGTGGGCTTGAAAATATTCAGAGAGGCTACATGATCGTTAGAATCAAAATAGAGCTGTATTACGGGATGTACATGCAACTGAATTTCATCAGATCATTATCTTTGCAAATGTTTATAGTGGAAGATTTACTTAAGGAGATTGCCTAAGAAGCTGTGTTTGAAGAAGCTTTTGCAGATGTCAAGTAACTCTCTAAAGAGCTCCTATCACATCCACAAAGCTTGGCTAAAGAGATAGGCCCACCCAGAAAATCTTGAAGTGAAAGGAAAATATTTTGGTCGCTTTGTCATAGCATTCAGTTTCATATGGTAAGAGTTTTCGCGTAAGCCACTAGTACTCAATATAGTCGCATGGGCTCACTGTCTGCTAATTTTCATTTAATTAGGTACGAAGCTTCCTACTAACGACGAACGACCCACGGATTACGATGGCAATTACATATATTGCGTTCTTCGCGCATCCAATATGCAAGGCCCTCATTTTGGCTGTCTGACAGGGGCAAACATTGAGCACACAACAAAATAAAGATTCTATTAGACAGATTTCGAGTGATTTTGCCTTTGTTTTGCATAATTCTTCTTTCAATACCTTCCATTAGTTCAGCCAATCGAAGCCATGTGATCGCTGAGTTTCAAATTTCGTCGACTCTGAGCATCCATAGCAGCCGTTGTCGTGCCTGATGGGCATTTATCGCCTTTACGTCTATTTGCACAGATGATCTCTCCTTCAGGAGCTGGGAGTGGCGTATAGAAATAACATCATCATTCATATTAGGGTCGCGATCTGTCAGGCGCTTGGCATCGAAGATTGTCCTGCATAAGCAAAGATAATATATTCGTAAGTTGAGGTCAAAAATGGAGAGGAGTGATCGTTTAATTGAACGACAAAAGGGTCATCCAAAATGACTCGGGCTTACTAATTATGTACAGTTCAAGAAGTTATTGTTCCAAGACGATCCGAGAGAAAGCGAACTATTCTCTCTCTCTCTTTTTCTCTCTCTCTTTCTCTCTCTCTCTCTCTTCTTTAGCCCTCGGATAAATTCATGGCTTATGCAGTAAGGTAAACAAGATTAAGTCAAAATGCACATCTTTGCAACATTTCTGCTTCTGTGTAAGATGCAAAAAAAGATGAAACCTGACTTTTTTATTTCTGCCAACTCAAAATTTCTGGCGCCTTGCAGACCAGCTCATGTCCTTCCTCGTCCATCAACGCAGCTGTTATTTGTGTCGTTCATCATGCCTATATTCTCCTGCATAATCGCCTCCATAAATTTTCGCATCTATCGTGATTTAGAACGCTGTGCATACATGACATAATAGATGTTCTGCCCTTGGGAAACGCACACCTGCATGGATATTAGCTATGACTCATCCGTGAACTCTGACGCTCATTACTGTAACAAAAGCCATGCGAGTGCCGTAGACAGATTCGTATGCAAATGGCCCATCTATACAAACGCTAAAGCTTAGTGTCGTTGCTGCTGGAAGTGCATGCAAATGCCGTCGTACAAGTAATTTGACCCGCACACATATGACTAGCATAAAGATTGGTCACGAAGGAATCTTGTATCAGTGAAGAAGGAGCATCAACGTTTGGATTAAAAACGACCCTCCTTTTAGGATAAAAACGGGTAACAAAAGTATAACCTTTTGTCAGCTAAAACTTTTTAAGAAATCGGAACAAGGATTCAGAAACTGTCTTTTTTATTATATCTTCCTCTTTATCTTTCCTCTTTCCATACTTCACACTTGACCCACCCTGCTCCCAAATAGAATGACAAACAACCTGAAACCACTCAGTAAATGAATGCGCACACTGTTCAGTAGATTGTTCATTATTGCGCATCTTATGCAAATCCGCTGGTAAATAGAGTCGTAATCGTCCGCGCATCTGTCGCTGCGCTTCTACTGTTCCTAACTAACAATTAGCACCTTCGCGACTAATTGCACATCTTCTGATCCTTAATGTTCTAGGAAAAAATTTACTATGGACTGCACTATTGAGTGACGAAGACAAACGTTCTCTGCACATCAAAAAAAAAAAACAATTTTTTTTCGTGAGAGTCTAATCTTAGATATATCAGTAAAGGAATTGAATTGAAAAACCGAATTATGTTTTCTTCTTCATGTTCTTCTTTGCAGTCTGGATGCGGGAATTTTTATCAGAATGCGCTGCTACGTACTTAGAAATGTGTTTTCGACCAACAATCTTTTAGGTTGAACTACCGTCTTCATGACGAATGGACACTACCGTATCATCTAATCAACATCGCTCTACATGCCTTAGCGTCAGTGCTTGTCTCTTCTCTCGTGAGAGAGTTACGGCATGCTGCTGAACAGTCTTTTATCTCCGACGAGGCTTTCGTCACCGCGGCACTCTTTGCCGTACATCTTGTGCACAGCGAAGCTGTAAGTGAAGAGTCTTTTGTTGCTAAGTTACGTTGTCATCAATTTTTTTGTGAAAAAAAATAATTTTAGGTAGCAAACATATCTGGCAGAGCGGAGCTTTTGATGAGCACTTTTTCGCTACTTGCACTAATATCCCAAAGGCACGTTCGAGGAGATCCGGTATGGAGACCGAATAGACCATTCTTCCTTATGGTGGTAATGGCAGTATTGAGCAAGGAACAAGGCATCACTGTATTTGTAAGTCTCAACACAAAGCTGGATTGTTTGAACTGGACAATCAGAAATGAGGATTTTAGCCAATCTGCATCTTTCTGGAAGTTCTTTACTGTCTCCACACCAGTAGAAAATATACTGCTGCAGCTTTGCGGTGCTCCATGCTTTTCTTCTCTGCACTAGTCTTGGTATTCTTTCGGGTGTATATCAATAACTTTACTACACCGAAATTTACCGAACTAGACAATCCAGCAGCATTTGTCAAGGATCCGCTCTTGAGGGTGAGTAATAATGGCATACTATATTGCGTAATGTTAAGAACAATGCCGCCACTAGCCCCTGGCCTTCATATTCCTTTCAAAACCCGAAAGACACCGGTCACTCAAAGAATTTGTGGGTGTTCAATGGCAGCGTCCAGACAGATTGAACTGTCTTGTCTACCACCATAATCGAGTACTAGGGTCTCAATCGAGAAGTATTGCGCAAAGCGGTCGCCAACAACACTGCCCCTAAAAGGTGCAAATAGGCATGCAAACCCGTAGACCCAATCCACTTCCGCAACGCCAACCCTCAAGCAAAAATTCCTCGACTGTTGACGCGTTTTCACAGTTACGCACTTAACGTTTGTACCACTTGCCACAAAAATAGCGCCTGGGGCACTCGTTCACGTTTCTCACAGAATAGCCCAAAAAAGGCATTTCCCGGGGGTTATGCCTTTAGAGTGCTAAATTTGGAATCAGAGCCATGAAAGGCTTGAAGGCAGGAAATGGAATTCGAGAATCATCCAGACGCTGCCTAAAGCTATAAGAGGACGAGTGTTTCTCAAGACAGTTACTTAAATTACGAAACACTGCGCTGCTTGCAGATAGCCTCCTACTCATGCGTATGGCTGATCAATCTTCGATTGCTGCTACTACCGTACTCGCTCTGCTTCGACTACAGTATGGGCTGCATCCCACCAATCACTGCTTGGAGTGATTACCGTGTTTTATGCTTGCCTGCAGTGGCATTCGTGCTGATCGCTATCATTTATATCCTTTACAATACTAATAATAGGTTTGTTCAAGCAATGTCTGTTTTTCGATCTATAGGCATTTTTATTGTAGGCTTTTTATTTTTGGGGCTGCCATTGGCGGGATTAGTTTCCTTCCTGCTAGTAATTTGCTAATTACTGTTGGATTCACTGTAGCCGAAAGAGTGTTGTATCTACCTTCGGTTGGCTTGTGTATAATGGTAGCCGTCATTTATGTGCGAGCGTCACGATACTACCATAACATGGACAAAATCGGCTTAGCAGTTCTCGTAATCGCTATGAAATTAACATATCAGGTACAGTACATCTACTGTCCTTCTTGCCTGACCTATCATATCGTTACAGAGATCTGAGGAATGGCGAACGGAACTGGATCTTTACGCCAGTGGCTTGAGGGTTTGTCCAGAGAATGCAAAGATTCACTACAATCTGGGAAAGGTGCTGAGCAAAACAGGAAACCTTGACGCTGCCGAGCATAACTATTGGAATGCCGTGCGGTAAGCAGGGTCCAGATCCAAGCCTGTTGCAAGCCACAATGTTGTTTTAGCTTGAATCCAAACTACGAACATGCTCTAAATAACCTGGCGAATATTCTGGAATCCAAAGGAAGAAGCGCAGAAGCAGAACATCTACTAAGACAGGCCCTTCGCAAAAGACCAATGTTCGCAGTAGCTTGGATGAATCTTGGCATAACCCTGATGAACCAGGGAAAATACCAGGTGAATATGATCATCTCTTTTCCAGTGCCTAAATTCGGCGTTTCAGGAATCGCTAGAAGCATACCGGAAATCTCTGCAACTTCGGCCAAATGACGCTGATTGCATATTCAATCTAGGAAACTTGTATCAACGAATAGGCCAACCACTGAGTGCATTAGAAGCATGGAGAAACTCAACGAGGTAAGAAGGAGCTTTAGATCTAAGAAATGGGCATGAGAATAAGTATCTATCACTCATCCAATTCCAGGCTTGATAGCAGCCATGTGCAAGCAGTGACCAATCTATTGGTGCTACTGGATGAGCTTGGACGATGCGATGATGTGCTCGAAGCTGCAAAAACTCTACCGGAAGCCATGTTGGGGGAACGTGGCTACAATAGCATTTCAAGTGGCCACATGTCTCGGGAAAAATGGTAGCTTTGTGGAAGCAGAACGGCATTTCAAGAGAGTCTTGCAACTTAGTCCTTCGAATGCTATGTATCATGCAAACCTGGGTAGGCTACAACATAACTCCATGTACATTGCAATTCACAATCGGTTTTTAGGGGTGCTATACCAACGCTGGGCCCGATATGAACTGGCAGAATACTACTATCGCAAAGCACTGTCACTTGAAAGAAATGAGCGCGTAGAATTCTACTTGAAGGAGGTCTATAAAAAATTGAACGGCACTAGCGAAAATGCAAAGAGGCGTCTTTAAACCTATTTAGCAATCGAAATTCCTTTGAACTCAAACTAATGCATGTATTTTTATTATTGTAGTAGTCCGGTCATTGCGAATGGGCTCACCAACTTCAACTCGTGCAATATGTTAGAGGTGGCACTGGCATTTTACACCAGAGTTGGTTTTTCAAATTTGTCGGGCACGTCTTTGACGCAACGGAATTTTTCTTGGTAGACATATGTGGGTGCATATGCATATGTGGGTTGAAGTGAATCGTGCTTACCTTGAAAAAAGGACAAAGGTGGCTTTAACAAGGGAAGTACGTTCAACAAGGGAAGTACGTTTGGTGACATCAGCCTTTTATCATAACCTGCAGAGCATATGCTAGTTTCGGAAAGTTGGTCGCAAATCCATATATAGTTCATTCGTTGATCGCACAGACTGGACATCATTGCGGAGCACGCGCAGCGAGGTAAAACGCTTGCCCCAGTACAAACTCGCTAAGTACAAGTCGTGCTTTCCCAACAATTCAGCCGCCCCGCGTGTGGTCCGCGCTATGAGCAGTCCTGCGGTCAACGAATCGACGATACAGACTCTGCAAAACGAATTTATGAAAGAAGTCATAAAATCATCTACCCTCGAAAGAGGCAAAAGTGCCTCGAGTTTGGGAGACGAAGTACCACAAAACATCATTCTTTCGATTTTTGTATTTTCGGGTCAAGCGCATTTTCAATGTCGGTGTTACGTCCCATCCATGGCTCAGACCCGTTTTCGGGGGGGGGGGGGGGGGGCTTATTTATTAGATTTATTAGATCTATTTTTTTATTTAAAAGACTTATTTATACTTGTAAGTAATTGAAATAATTTTTTAAATCTTTTAAAAAACTCAGTTTAGCTTTATAAAAAATTTTTTCGGGAGCGTGGCTGATGCCACGCTCCCTTTTTCTAAAATTTTGGGGTTATGGGCCCGCGAAAATTTCGAGAAGCGTACCAAAAATTTCTCCGGGCGCGTGGCCAACGCCACGCACCTTCATCAGAAAAATTTTTTTGTCGCCTCCCGCCCCGAGCCGAAATCCTGGGTACGCCACTGCCATGCTCTATTGTCGAAAATGTGTTAAACCCTACAACAGTTAGAAAAAAGCAGCGATTGAACCCGTGATATTTTTCTTCGCAGACTAGCCTCGCCACGTGACACCTAATATAACGTCTTTGACTTCCTCTAAGGGCCGCATGCATTGACATCCCCGCCGAAGAGGGGATGTCAATGCAATGAGCTTAGAAGAAAGCTTAGAAGAAAGCTCAATGAGCTTAGAAGAAAGCTTCATATCCTGATTCTCCAGATATGTGGATTTCACGTTGTCTATCCCTATCCTTAGATATTCCTACATCCTTCACTATAAACATTTTGGACAAGAGTGAGAAGCTGTAAAGTTTTCATTTTTTCAGCTTTTTGTACGATCCCCTAATGATCCGCGGCGGTCGATGTTTTCTCCAAAGATTTTTATTTCCTTTAAAGTCATTGAAATGTCCCAAAATTCTACGGATTATCCAACCAAACAGTGCTAAGCATATTTTTGATAAGAACAAATGATATGTCGAACTCAAGCGGTGCACAAGTCGAAAGTCGGGGTTTATTGAAAATTTCGATAATTCTATAACTCAATTGTCCTCATGAGCAACACGCTAGCACTATTAAGTTATCAGTACAACACTGGAATGTTTTCGTTAAATTCGAAGAAAGAAAAATGACTTTGAAGAAAAGACGGTGGGGCGCAGGAGATCATCAGGGGTTCATACATAGAGCTGGAAAGTGCATCTTGCTCCTGTTCAATTTGTTCATAGTGAAGCATAATAGAAGTACTTACGGATGGACAGACAGCGTGAAACCCGAACATCTGGAGCTTCAGAATTTGAAGCTTTCTTCTAAGGGCCGCATGCACTAACATCCCTGCGGCGAGGGGAGCGGCGTCCCCAATGATGAAAAACCCGCAGCGGCGTCCGCACGCGGTCCCTTCATAACGGGGGACGCCGCTCCCCTCGCCGCAAAAATGTTAGTGCATACGGGCCTAAGTTGCTTCCTCCCCAGCGGTGTTTTTAAGGCAGCCCTAAGGCGAACCCCGTCCCCACTTCATAAGACGAATACCTTTATGAATCCTTTGGCAGACAAACATACATCGTTTGAAATCAGCGGCCCAAAGCAATTATTTCGATGTATATCTTGTGTGGAACGATGGGGTCAACTCGAACACTTCCCTTTTGAGGTTTTAAGCCAAAACTCACAATACCGCACAGTCTGGCATATAGCTCGTTTTTGTCGCTCATCTTTCTGTTTTTGCTCCTCGTCCACACTAACTCTCCATTTTACGGGTTTCCTTAGCCTTAACGTAACACTTTGTCTTGTTGCTCTTTCAATATTATTAATGCCTGTAACGCAATATTGTTACGCAGCACTTCATTACGGGTACGTTGCTCTCGAGATTGTCGGAGTTTCTCTTCTGAAATGTTCTGAATAAATCGTTTATGCATCATAAAGTTTGTGAACAATAATAAAACATTAAATTGTACGCTTTTTTGAGGGCACGGGACGAGAAGCCTTCTAAGAAAAAGGTAGCGAAATTTCAGAAAATGGACTTTATCAGTACGCAAGATGATTACACGATTGAAATGGCTTGTATTGAACACAAGATCCATTACCCGGAAGTGCTCCACTGTTTCATTTCATGATTATTCAAACAAAATCGGGATCCCTTTGCATGGAATCTCTTTCCTGCGTCGTCACACGAGTAATCTTGCGCTTACAACCTGTGTTAATCTATGTGTATGAGCGGGTCGCTATTAATTTCATCATGCGTCTGTATAGTCTACCCCAATCGGGATCAGGCCAAAGCGTCGGCTGAATTTGCGCGCTCGCAGCGCTATGGATCTGCGCTGCACACGCGCGCTGTCGCAGAGAGCGAAGAGATTGAGGAGGGAGCAGACTAGCTAGTCATGCGCGTGACCGCGAAACCTTCGCAACACGGACTCCCGGCATGCCAATTTTGGCCTGATTGGGATTGGGGCGGACTGTATGGGTGCGCAGGCAGCCAGTGAAATCATGAGTCCATACAGGCGTGCGGGCCACCGTCATCATGGTATCAACTACAGGGCTTATCAAACGGACAGTCGCTTGCATCAGGATCTCCACTCCCGCGCTGGACTCTGCATTTCTTCCGCGAACATGCTCTCTGATCACTTTCCCAGGGCGAGCGTGGGAAAGGCGGAGCCTTAATCGATTGGAAGTGATCAGAGAGCATGTCCGCGGAAGAGACGCAGAGTTTAGCGCGGGAGGAGATGTTGATGTAAGCTGATAAACCCTCTATGTGCGCCGGTCAAAGTCACATTCATGGGTACAACCACCAAAACACACCCTACGCAATTTATCCATCAACACTGACGCTCGTGACCATAGTAGAAGCTAAATCTCATTCTTTTGAGTACAACAGTTATTTAGAGACTGTTACTTTTTATATTTTCTTTTGCATATCAAGAGGGTGATCCAAAAGTGACGGGGCACCTTAACTTTCCAACATTCTAAGGTCTCTCTCTGAGTAACTATGAGCGACCAGCAATTTGAGTGCTCTTGCATGGGTGCATAGGGTTACTTGTGTGTCAATAACGCAAACGCCACGCGACAGGTTGGCAGTAAGTAGAACTTGGCCAGCATAACTCACAATCCAAAGCTTTTCATCCTCTTGAGCTTACAGACTATCTTTGCATTGTTTTATAGTACTTGTTTAAATGTCGACCACAAAACCTGCACAAGAACCATTTAGAAGAGAAAACCACACATTATTAGGTGATTATTTCGTGATTTATTTGAAATATGTTCTTACACTAAAGGAACCACGATCAGCCTCGCTCTGATCGGGCCTTATAACTTGCCCCCACCAATCATTAGCCTCAGCTGTACAGCAAACCAACTCATCTACGAGATATACATTTATGGGCAAGTACGGAACGACAATACATCAACATCAACAGGAACACAATCGAGATCAACTAGAAGTGAGGATCCTCAATGAAGCACGAGAGACGGGTCTGGCGACCCAAAGACGACACGTCGCCAGACGTCCATTCACCATACTGCTGTACCGTTCCGCCTCTGGTCTTAACGCCCTGCTCGTCGAGTTATCGTACCACCGATCTGTAAGCAAAGAGCAAGGAGAGAGCCTGGGAAAATAAACACAAAGCCTACGCAATAGCTAAAAATTTGAAAAGATCTGAGAGATCTCATTATCACCCTGCTCTCTCTTACATCTCCCCCCTTTACGCAAGTCCGTCCTCGGACTTAGGGACGTAGTGGGTGTAGTGTTGCGGCGTCGAAGAAGTGCAGGTTGGTGATAAGGTTCTTGTGGGTGCGCCACCAAATGACTTCAGTCCACGTCGGGGCGTTCTGCAAAAAGGTTAAGGCGCCTAGGATAAACATACCGTCTCGAGCGCGCGAAAGGGCCACGTTGATCCGCTTTGGGTCGGAAAAGAACGTGGGCTTGGCTGATGGCTCTATGTGCGTGCGTGTGGTGCAGAGGATGACGATAGGTTTTTCAGCTCCTTGGGCGCTGTCCCACCGTGCCGTTATCGCACAGGAACTTTTGGTCCCTGTAAAGGCATATGACGAGTATATATCCTGGTGCTATGCCATTGGTAATGAGCATCGTGCGATGACATGTGCGGCATTGGCTTCTATGATGTTGATGTGAGATTCTGTAAGTGATTGCTCGGACTGCGACGGTACCTTCACGAATGCAACGGGTATTTTGGCATTAGGCATGCGGGTGTGCGCAAGTAAAAGCTGGCGCTGCTCGGGCGGGGTTCCACATACTAAGGTGTTACCACTGAAAATTTCTGAGTTGAGGTGCATCATTTCGACATGGGGGCGGTAGACGGTGCGAATGGTACACGAAGGCATGCCTTGTTCACTGGTGACTAGGTCGAGGACCGAACGCATGCTGACGTCCACTGCGAGGGGTACCGTTTGCGTGCCAATGTATGGCGGGAGC